AGTGCGCTGCTCAACATTATTACTAATTATTTGTTGAACATCAAACACTTGAGAAGTTGCCAGTGCCTCACAAGACTCATAACACTTGCCAAATACAAAGTCGTAGAGGTTCTGATGGATGTGACTGATAAGTAAGTAGAACTATTCCTAATTCAAAATTGCCTCCAATGCTTTTATATGAACTGTGACTCCAATTTTAGCCTTTTTAACAAATATGAACATTCAAAGCATATATTTACTTACAAAATCTAGAATGCCAACCTAGTAATTTTAGAGAGTTTACAAATTAGTCCATTGCACATTCAATCAGAAGTGAGCCCCGCTGAATTTAATTGGATTTACGTCAATCTCATTGGCTTATGGTGTGCTGTGGGAAGAATCAAATTCCACTAGGCCACTATGAGCTCTTATGTGCATAGAAGCAGTTTTTTGGACTCTGGCCAGTAATTTCTCCCTGCTTAACCCCGCATACAATAACTAGTTCTCCATTTCATGTGGGAGTAACTCATGAAACCATTTGCAAAACTGTAGAGGAAAACTTAATTATGAGAAGATATTGCTCTATAACGAGAGTCACTTCATTTCATAATGCTTTCATTGAGTTAGTGCAAGTGATTTTTTTTGCATTAGGTTACCATCATTTTAATGAAACACAAATGAACATCTGCTGACACAATTGTTGCACTTTAATTTCATTTAATACAATTGTCTCACAGTACTAAAAGTACATCTGCCCAGGTTCAGACATCCTCTTTTGCACGTACAGTGATGTACACAAGGTTTCCCGTACTGAACAGATGGCTAACACTTGTTCTGTATGTGCATAGGCCTGGAATCAATTGTCCCACCTCATCCTCAAACAGGTGATTGCCACAAATATGTTAAACAGGTTCATAGCTTCTTTTTTTTTAATGAAAAAACTGTAAGTGGCAAATTTACCTCCTGGGAAAAAAAGATGAATTGCATCATAATTCTGTGCCCACAATTTAAATTATCTTTTTACATATGTTTACAATAGGGCATCCAACAATCTCGAGATATGCCAGAAGAAATACTTGTATCTTTATATGTGTACACACAATTGCAGCCCTTACAACATGGGCATTTCCCCACCAAATATGCAATGCGCAGCTCAATTCTATTTACCTACTTAAAGCTCCAGTGCAACCACTTTCAGGCTATTCTAAATATACAGGTATTTAAATTTTACCCAACTGGGTAGTTAACCTGTGAAGTATTTAAAAACTTTATGTCTGTAAATGGTTCTGATCTCTAGCCATTGAAGATAAGAACAGGATCTCCCTGTTTACTTCCTTTGCCTAGTTTCTGCTTTCTGCAATTTTGTTCTCCAGAGGGACACCCTACCCACAACTCAGGATGTCTGCAGTCTGGATGCAGTCTGTGGCTTGTGTGCATCTGGTTTAAGGAAACCATACGCTAAGCCAATATTTTTTCTAGAATGCTTAGTGCATGATTTTCCATAGATAATGACAAAAGCCTTTGTGGAGATTTAAAAGCTACTTAAAATAGCTCTTTGGGTTGCAATCTACATCATTATTATTTGTTACTGCCAGCAAAACTAGACTTGTTTCCCATTCAAGCATTACTCTAAAGTAAGATTAACTCCCTGGCTGATATCATTTCACAATGATATTTTTTGTTTAATACTATATTAGCCTCCAATTCTGAATGAATTGTTTGAAATGGACTTCTGGCCAACATACTCTTTTGAGATCAAAGAAGAATCCTCTTTGGAATTAGTTCGTGGTTGTTGAAATCACAATGCACTGGTCATCCTATGATCCCTCCATCTTGCAAAATAACATGGCACAAGATGCAGAGGGACCCTGCAATAGCCTACATCTTGGGACAGAAATGTCCCTAGAACAGCTTTATATGCAGCCACATTGAACAAACTTATCTAACAGTAGGAATAAATAGATATGTCAAAGTAAAATGAAAACAAGGCTTAATTATACTCTTGAAACTTTGTTTAGCTTATATAGATCAAGTGACTAAAACCATGGATATCAAAGATATGCTTGGAAGAAAATACATGTCAATCTGAACTTGTTTCTTCTAGCAAATGAAGACTTCAGAGGAGGAACAGAAACCATCATTGATTGTCAGCTTGCCCATTAGGCTGAGACAAGCTAGGGAAGGCTGAATCCCTCACTGCTGAAGACATCAACATTCTGTTTGATGTTGTGAACTGGTTAAAGTGTTGAACTAAGACTGGTGCGATCGAACTTCAAATTCCCACTCAACTATGAAGCTTAATGTGCGATCTCAGACCAGTCATTGGCCCAGTTTGCATAGCAAACCACAATTCAGACAATAAGAAATAGTCTGTTGTTGGGTTATTTGACAGTTGTTTTTCCCTCAAACAAGCCATGCCACAAGTGATGCAACAAGCTGTGTCCAGGTGGAAAATTAGGGAAATGGTACCCAGCATGTTCCATAGAATAAGGTGACTGTGCAAACTGGGCCATTCTCTCTTAGCCTACGCCACCTCAAAGGGTTGACATTAGCATAAACTAGAGCAGGGGGAATTATGTGTGTTACTTTAGGCTCTGTGGAAGAAAAACTGGTAAACAAACAAACAAACCCTGACCTTAAGTATGCATCTCATTTGCTTTACAGTTTGTTTTTCTTGAGCTGGTTAAGCATTTTATATCTATCTGGAATGCCTTACTGAGACTTTTTCCCCTTTACCATATTTCTTTCAAAGTTCTCAGATGTCAACTTGACAGCTAGTTTTCACTATCCCCACTTTGGAAGGGACTGGTAGTCTTTCAAAGTGCCCAAGCAGGACCTTTGAAGGGCTGCCAAAACAAAATATATTCGTGCAAAATGCATTTTTAGCTGCAGTTGTGCAACTGTGAACCTTGTCTTGCAGAAACTACCAATCCTGAACATTGCCCAGAAATAGGGCAATTGTCCCCCTCTCTCCCCACTTTGGTTTCTCTTGACAGTTGCAAGCCATCAAGAGAAACCAAAGATGAGAGTCACCTTTGCCTATGATAAGAGGGTGGTGTGATTTACATCATCAAGATATTCCACTCCTCTTCCAGCTCCATCCGCAACCCCACACCCACCTCTCCAGTGGCCCCATCCACCCATCTCAGTCTCTGCTGTTCCCTTCTCCTTTTGCCTTCAATCATTCCCAGCAGAACACCTTACTATAGCCCCCCAAAAATAGAGCATGCACTATTGTAACTTATTTTTCAAAGTGCCTCTGATGAAATATGTAGGAATGCTCTAGTATAAGAGCAAAAGGAACATTGCACAGCATATACAGACCATGTTCTTTTTCACAAACTTTCCATCCATTTCAAAATAATTCATACTTCTCACTATTACTATTGTGAGTAATAGTAATTAGCAATTACTAATAGTAATTAGTATTACTATTACAATAGGCTTTAAAATTCCTTTTTACTTATAACAGATTTTTGTTGCTGAAATTCACACTATAGATTATCCTTTGAATGTTTTTATTAGATTTAGGCGTTTAATATTGTTGAAGGGGTGTGTATTATTTTCATAGTTGTATTGTATTGCATTTTCATTATTAGCTACAGGTAGGAGCAAATTTCTGGCTGAAAAGTATAATAAAATGTGCAACTCTAAATCTATTCTGACAGGGTTAGCTGGCTTTACAAATAAGCAACGTATGTCATTTGTTTCATTAAAAGTTTACATTGTTCTGATGATAGCACAGCAAAGCATTCATCATGTTGCCACAAAGTTCACCTGCATTTTGAGTCCAAACCTCTTGGCCCATCTTGGCCCAAACCTCCATTTTGCCTGGAAAGATAACAACCCTTCCTGAAATGGAAAAGGAAATGTCCAGTACGCTATATGCTTTCCTGAGACCTCTAGTGCTGATCTCATCATTTTCCTAATTCAGTCAGGACAACAATGTTCCACTGATCAATTGGCAAGTGAGAGATCAAGTTGAGGTGCTCCTGTCAAGAGTCCAGATCCCTCCACTTGTCATGGGGGAACAGGCAGTCACCTTTATTTTCTTCTCTCTGAAATTGCCCACTTCTAGGCCACTCCAATCTATTGCAGAGGTGGGCAACTTGTGGCTGCAATTTGCTTTTCCCTACAACTCCCATCAACCCCCACCATTGGCTGTGCTGGTTAGGGCTACTCATAGTTGTAGCCCAATGCATCCAGAAACTCACAAGGTCCATACACCTGCTTTCGAAGAGTATAACTGCCTCAGAATCTAACCTCAGTATATTTTCAAGAGCAGTCCTGCTGGCAGATAGTCTGTGCCTCTGGAGGGTCTATTTTGCTACCCTGAAACTCTCAAGTCCAGGTGATTCCAGAAGACATCCTGCCAGAATAAACACATTCTGACGGATCCCGGAGCTCCCAGCATTAGGTATCCTTTTGTTGTCTCATAGCCAGTGGTCCCTGCATGGAAAATCTTTGCTGTTGCCAAGAAAGGCTCCTTTTTCTGCATTTCTTTGAGATTTGCTCTAAGATTTGGGATGCTCACTGCCAGATCCTTTGACATGGTTCTCTGAGAAGTTGCAAGGAAGGAGCCTGCTGTCTCTCTTTCAGCCTAATACCATTCCACTATAATTACCAGTTCCGTGCACTATGCTCCTTATTTCTGTAAAGGTACTAGTTTCTGTGCTAGTTCTTCTCAACTGATGACAGAGCCAGAGACATAGTGAGGAAGAGGTCTGCCTAGCACTGAAGCTAAATTCATATACCAGAAGCATTTATTCCCTGAACCCAGAGTTGTAGCTGCAAGTGCATTAGAGGCACATCTCCCAAGGCAAGCACAGTAACAATTTTAGCTTCAATTTTATCCCAGCTTGGATTAAAGTTACTTGACAAAATATGTTAAAGAATAACTCATTTTTAACCAGCTAAAAAAAAAAGATGGCCAATAGTGATGCAGAGATATCACAAGTCCTTCCAAAGTAATCATATATACAATTATACTCTGATTGAAAAAATATATATAATTAACATACCTGGAACATCTGTTCTGACCCTTGCCATGCCTTTCCTAAATGTTCCACTCAGAAAAGAAGCATGCTTCCTTTTAGCTGCCACAGTTCGTGGAGACATGTACTCACTTTTGCACTGCGATTTTTCAAAGGACTTTTGAACATCATACGAACCTGGTGCAGGAGCTTCCTGTAATATTGACAAAAGCATTAGCTGAAGCAGCATTCACAATTTCTATGTTACAATAATCATTAATTCTGTCCCCACTACAGAAACACTACAATGCAGAAACACTACAGGCAGCTACCAGAAAAACGTGCAGGCAGCTCACAAGTGCCTGAAATAGCATCAGGTAATTGTATTGAAATGGTTGTCTAAACCATGATATCGCCACTGTGCAGCAAAGGTCAATGCTGTTAAATCTGCAACAGCCATCATCACAGTGTCGTGTTGCTCATATAGTGACTGGAGGATTAGCAACAATTAAATTGTGCAGAGTCCAAAAGCCTTGTAACTCCATAGAAGACTTGGAGGTAGTAACCTTTGAGAACACAAACTACATATAATAAGAAGATTGGTTATAAGAGCTAGCGTGGTGTAGTGGTTAAGAGTGCAGAGCTGGGCCTCAGATGGATGATCTGGGTTCTAGTCCCTGCTTAGCCACAGAGCCAACTGGGTGACTTTGGGCCTGTCACAGACTCTAAGCCCAACCTACCTTGCAGGGTAGTTGTGGGGATAAGATTGAAAGTAGCGCTAGGAGAATGATGTCAGTTCATTAAAAAAGAAAAAAGCAGAATATAAATCTAATAAATAAATAAATAAATAAATAAATAAATAAATAAATAGTGTCACATTAGGTAACAGATTATTATGCTATATATGCCAGACTTGCACACTGTTCATAGGATCACAGTGCCCATTATAGCAGGGAGGAGATAAACACTAAACATACTAAGAAGCTTTTTACAAGAAAAACAAATAACACTACAGTCTGCAAGAGGCTCAGCCTAACATTAAGAGTTTCAATTTATCCTTCTTTTAATGGGCAGGTGATTATTTACATTTATGAACTAAGTGTGAAGTGATAATGCCTTTCCTTATTCAGCGATTCTTAATTTAACAGTTCTCGCTTCATTCCAATTCAAGAGTGCTAATTCATTATCCAAGATGAACCTGTTTACTTCAAATTTAATAGTTTCCAATTAAGCTAAAACATTTACTCTTCCATCATTTATAAACTCTTTCTGCTAAGTTGCTATATTAATATTTTTAATCAACATCACAGGAACATTAGTATTAATAATGATGATAATAATTCTAGGTTAACTATCAAATACTGCAAGCAGCAGGCTTAAATTGTAAGAGCAACTAAGGCTTCTGTCTGAACATACAAATATTCAATTTCATTTTATATTGTACTGTGCATGATATTACATGCATTTCTTAAGCTCAGGATTTTTTTTAATTTCCAGATGGTTGCATTTTTACAAAGCTCCTGTTTAGTGAAATCACAATCTCAAATATGGAAGAAAGATGTTTACACTATCTAAACTACAGAATAGCAAATGGATGAGAAAATGGGGAAAACACACACCTATAGTCTTGATACAAAGCCCAGGACAATTTGATGGTTCTATTAACTACAGTGCCCATCTTTATGTATAGCACATGCACTTGTACCATCCACATTATATACCTTACTTGAATTAACAATTACAATATAGTTTGGACATGGTGGGTGCTACTTGACTTTTTTTACATAAATACACATAGGAATCTGACATGCCTTTTAAAAAATACTTAAGTTTTATTATTTTTAACTTGCTCTTCTTTCTAAAACTCTCAGAATGAGAAATCCTTGTTCTAATAAAAATACTAGGAATGCAGGAATACATTTTTCTCTTTGATAGCACAGCCACATTAAATATTCACAGAAACTGCTACGTTTCAATATCTTAATTCTTCTAGCATTGTTGCATTTGAGACTGGAAAGTTACGAAACATATTTGTTGTAATTGTTTCTATTTACTATCTCAAAACATTTGAGATACTACAGAAATATTAAAAATGTAAATGGCAATCACATGAGAAAAGATATTGAAAAACCAACAGGCAAATTACACATGTTATATATATTATAAAATTAACACTTGTTCTTCATTTACTAGGTTATTTTCATGTCTGGCAAATCAACCGTGATGACTGACAGCATACATTCATAGTAATCAGCAAAGCAATTTCTTATAGCTTTAAGAATTTAATCTGTGGTGTTTCTGCTTTAGTCTATATAGTCTGTAAAGAGAGGCAAACTTTCTTATCTGAATGCTCTCAATTAAGAGATCTTATGGAATGTAAATATTTAACAAGCCATAAAAGGCCATATATGAAAAGATTCCATATAAAATATTTCTTACATTTTTCAAGGGCCCATATCAGCAGATTGATTATATAGACTTACTCTGAGCAAACAGGATGATCAAATAAGTAAGGACAGCTTAAAGAGGCAATCCTGTGCACATGTACCTAGAAGAAAGTCTTGCTGAATGCAGTACAGCTTGTTTCTGAGTAGACAAATATAGGACTGCAATGGAATGTTCCCTGCCCTTGATGCAACTGCAATAGTGGCAACCTTTGCTCCACTGCACCTGGCACAGTGAATTTCATCTGGATGGCTGCTTTTGCCTTTAAGAAGAAATTGGAACCTGGAAGGGCAGCAGTGAAGGAACTTGACAAGATCAAGCGTAAAGACATTGAAACATTGTGCTGGAGAAGTGTTTTGCAAATACCCTGAAACAAGAGAAAGGCAAATAAATAGGTTCTGGGTCAAATCAAGAACTTTCCCTAGAAGCAAAATGAGAAAATTGAAGCAGTTGTACTTCATGAGAACATCACGAGAACACAAGACTCAAGGGAGAAGACAATCATGCTAGGGAAAGTTGATGTCTGAAAAAGAGAAGGGCCAAATATGAGATGGATGACTCCATAAAGAAAGCCACAGTCATGAATTTACAAGAGCTGAGCCGACCTGTCAAGGACAGGATGTTTTGGAAAGCATTCATTCACAGGAAAGAAAGAACTTGATGGCATGTAACATCAATAAAATGTTACTATTGTGGTGGTGTGTTCAGTTTTAATATAAGTTCTCTTTATGTTAATAAATGTTGTCTTGTAAATTTGTTAAAAGAAAGATGGGATATAAATATTTTAAATAAATAAAATAAATGAACTGTGGGATCTATAATTTCAATGTAAACTAGATGCAGAGCAAATAAAATGTGACTGAACAGTATGAAGACCTTTTTTTTCCCTCAGGCTATTTCAAAGGCCTCTGGACTGCTGAATTAAGTGGATTATTGTAATACCATCTGACACCAAACAAAGAATATTCTCTGTGGATAAGAGGGAGAACTCACTGAATATTCTTTATGGATGACTGACCTGCACACAAGGTGAAAGATCCTCATCTTTTATATACCCAAGTGAATGTGTGCTACTTCGGAAATATCACAAACACTTTTGTGAGGTACAGGAAAAAGCATGGAAATGAATGCTATGAGACCTTGATATCCTTATTTTCCATTATGTTGATGATCATAGACTAAATCCGTAAAGGTAAGAACAGCCTTGCTAGGTCAGACCAAAGGCCTGTTCTGTCCAGCATTCTGTTCCCACACCAACCAGATGCCTGGGAGAAGCTCATAAGCAGGTTATGAGCACTCCAGCATTCACCCACTCTCCACCCTCTGATACTAAACATAATAAACAGCTACCATGGTTAGACACATGCACATTCACCAACTTTTCTCAAGAAGACTTACTTTTCCCTTAGAAGCCCCATCCTCCTCCACTCCATCTATTTGGACCTCAAGGAACCTATCCAATCAGTGAGTTGATGTGGCGTTTGTTGTTGGCATACCGTGGACATAATGTTGCTTTTACCTGATGTATTGCTTTCGTGACTTTATATGTTATTGTTTGTATATATTTCAATTGTCCAGGGAGCCTTGTTTGGCTAATGGACAGTAAAAATGCTGAAATAGTTATATAAACTGTAAACCATTATAGTTTATTAATCATCTTCATGTTATCCTAACCAGGTTAATGTCACTTTTCCAGCTGGCTGTGAAACCCAAAGCAATCCTAAGTATAAAAAGTAAGGATTTAACCTGTGTACCACCTTCACCTCCAGCAAAGGCAGAGAATTGCTAGGGACCAGTCATGGAAAATTCCTTGCAAAATAAGCCACTGATAATTCCAGACCCCAGTCAGCCTTGCTTTCTGAACTGAGCAACTGGTAGATCTGCTCTTGGTGAATACAAATCATTTCTACTCTTCGGCCTGTCTCTCTCTACCCCACTCCAACTTTACAAGGTATCTCATACTGTCTTATTTTTCACAGAACCATGTGGAAAAAGAGGCTTAAATCAAGAATTTCATCAAGGATCTTCACATGTTCCTAGGATTTTCATACATTTCAAGCCAGATGACTATCTGAGATAAGTTAATATTCTGGTAAGTGCTTTTTATTAAAATCTAAAAATTCTCTCATGCAACTTCTTAAAAATCCAATCATACGCCTTGCCGCTGTTGAACGCTGTTTCAAATAATGAAGCACACAAAGACTGACAGATAATTGTATTTCAGTTTTGGTGTAATGTAACCTACTAATATCTATATTGGACATAAAAGGATGAGGCACTTTATAAAGGAGTCTATCATTCATTAATACTACTGAAGAACTGTCATGAACAAAAGTTATTTTTAATTTTTTCATATATTTTATAGAATTAACCTAAATTGTGTTTTGCATTATTCATTCCATAATTTTTAAATGTCTGATCATAGTCATTGCGAATCAATAGTTCAATATATCAAAAGTAAATGCAAAAATTCTCCTAATTTTTGGTTTTGCAATATAACATGAAAAATATGCATATCGTTATCTTGTCTTCATTCTGTACAGTTATGACTGCATTCATCCAAATTCCAGAATGCCATTTATAATTGTTTTAATATATCATATATCCATAAGCCGAGGTATTCAAGAAGAGCATTACTGCAGATTAGAGTGCAATTCCATACCATGTTGTATAATATAAATTCCAAACACTTTGCAGAATGAAAATGAAATTAACACATTTACTTTAGCTTATTACATGTAACAATATACATACCTTTTTTCTAGAACA